TTTCCGGGGAGTAACGCGTTCACCACCACACCATGCGGGTCCTTTGTTTCGCACGTCTCTCAGCTATTTCTATCGATCTTTTTGCATTGTGATTTCAACTACAGCCATAGCTTAACTGGGTTCTATGCCGATTTGCGCTCCCCAGATCAACCCCGCTGACGGGCGATTGCTGTGGCAAAAAGATCGATAGAAATAGCTGAGAGACGTGCGAAACAAAGGGCCCGCACGGTGTGGTGGTGAACGCGTTACTCCCCGGAAAGGACAATAGCGCGTTCGTTCCCCACCATAGACACCTGCGGTCCAGAGTTTTGCAAATATCTCAGCAACGTTGTGGTTGTATTTCGCTTACTTAGTAACCTGCCATGAAAATTATAGAAGGCAGAAAACAAAACGTTAAAATATATATTCTCTATTATTCGACTTTCTTATATTTATTTCTAATCGGAACAAAATCGGCGATTAATATAAGTACGATCGTCACGATGATATTCATATCTTTAATCTTCTCATAAATAATGGATGAAGGGTGAAGCTCCCGATGTTGGTCAATCCCTGAGAGGAGCGCTTTGCACTCGACCTCATCAGGCGTTAAAAGTGATTGAGCATGTCTGGTGTATACAGTGTGGCTCTCAGTGGCCTACTGATGTATCGAGTCAGTGCTGCTATCCCTCCAGCGAGATCTGGCACCATTTAGCCGATCTCAGAGAGGTGGAAGGCTCCATGGCCCTGAGCCGCGGGATCGAACCAAAGGCCACGTGTGCATTGCTGTGTGCGCCTGTAATCACAACGCTACACGTACCCATCCTTTTTACAGGTGTTAAGAACAGGAATGTAGCTAGCTATAGAATAGTTAGAGAATATATGCTAACCTATCGTCCACTAATCGCACCGGTATCGTCCAGATGGACACCATTTCGGCCTACTATGCACCTACCATACGGGCAACCCGACCCCTACCGTACACTATGAGTTGACCACTAAGGCATCTTCCTCGTCCAGTCTTTTTCCCACAATGAGCCAAGCTTCTTGATTACTGACAAGAAGTCCACTTTTGCGTCAGTATTATCTCGTTCTTCTAGTGAACTGTTTACTAAGCGGTCAACGACCTGGCATCACTATAGATATTGCGCTCAAATGCCATTCTGGCGTTGGAACTCGATAGATTCGGGATGCTCGGCACTTGATCACTTCCTTGTTTTCGACCGACATTGTTGTGTTTCCTAGAGTCTTGTCTTCTTTTCGTTCCGTAGTTTCATTTTACAGAGCTAAATAGCGTTGTTTAGTGCTATGTCTGTTTCAATAGATGTGATCAGTGATTTTCGAATCTTCATGTTTTCCTTAAAGGACACAATTTTAGGTTTCCGAGTCGTTAGTTTTTTCGCTTCTCTCTAAATGTTGGTGAACAAACTTCTTCTACCTAATAATTGTAAGATTTGTGTATCATCATAAGCCTAAGCTAAACTGTTAGAAATACTTTTAAAGATGGCAGCAGATGTACGGATGTCACCTCAAGAAGAGGGTGAGCTTTCTGATGTCGATCGAAAAGAAAGCTCGGAAGAAGGTGATCTAAAGGAAAACAGAAAGAGGAGATTCATTGAGTTGTCAGACACGTCAGATAGAGAGGGTAGGCAATTGCTTTTGTTTGATCTTATTACAGGTTTAATTCAACTGTTGCAGACAGGAAGAAAAAGAAGAAAGAGAAAAAACACAAAAAAGAAAAGAAGCACAAGAAGGAGAAAAAGCATAAGAAGGAAAAGTATGATGAACGTAAGTAATGGCATCAGGTTAGAGCTCGAAGCTTCGTTTTTCATGTTAAAGTTTCTTTTTCTCAGCGAAGCGACGATTTGTGGAGAATCCATCACCGGAGCCAGTTAAGAGTGAAGAGAGTAGACTGTCAGATGATTTGTGTGTCAATGAAACTCGTAGGAAGGATGATGAACCTTCACGAACTCGTGGACGTAGCAATGAAGGTAGCGATGTTGAAAAAAGAGTTCGGGACCAAAGTCAGGAACGTAAAGAATTCAAGAGTCGTGAGCAGGACATAGATAATAATGGAGTTCGTTGTTCGAACAAAGAAAGAGGAAGTGACAGGAAAGATGACAAAAAAGAAAATGTTCATGATCGAAGCCGAGATCAACTGGATGGTAAGGAGAAAAGAGATCACGAGGAGAATAGAGGTAGACGTGAAGATTTGGAGCACAGAAGTCGAAGAGGTCGCGAGCGTTCTCGAGAAAGGAGGGATCGTCCGGACGAAAAGTCTTCAGTTGTAAGGGTTTAATACTTTTTTCGTTTTTCAGTACTACTTAGTTTTATATTTTAGAGGGAACGAAGTGAACGAGATTGGCGAAGTCGTGAAAGGCGACGTAGTGACGAGCGCCGGAGAGATAGAAGTTTCGAAAGGCGGAAAGAACATAGGAGCTCTTCTCGCTCGTACAGAGATAGGAGGGACGAGCGAAGGTTTCGCATTAGCAGTTAACAAGCTAGTTCAGTTTTTTTCAGTAACTTTCGTTTAGGACAGATTCATACCGCGAGCGTGACAGAAATCGAGACCGAGACCATAGAAGACGCAGTCGTACACCAGATCGAAGGCGTCATGACGACAGGTCGAGGAAAGAAGTGGGGAACTTTCTTTATTTTGGTTAAAGTTTTTTTTTGCAGAGTGGAGTTTCTCATACTAAAGAGCATGGCATAGGGATTCTATTCCGGAGATTTCAAATTGTTAAGACTATAACTTGTCATATTAGAAGATGAAGTGCATTCATCCGAAAACTAACGAAAAGGTTTGGAATCTTTGTAATAATGAAGGATAAAGCTCTCGGCGTTGATCGATCTCTAAAGGATGCGCTATACCTTCGGCTTCATTAAGCATCATTGGAAGTGATTGAATGCATATATGCCCTTTACAATGAATTGAGGTGGCCTGCCTATGTATCGAGCCAGTGCTGCTATCCTTCCAGACAAGGCTGGTGCCAATTTGTCGACCGCGGAGGAATGAAAAACATGATGAGCCCGGAGCTCGAGGGTCGATCCCATGTTCATTGCAAAGTGCCTCTGACCACTGCGCTACGCGCCCTTGAGAGTCTTTGTAATATACTGACTAGAATCATGGGCAAAATTAGGGTTCTGTTGTCTTTCGTTACTAATATATTTATTTGTCATTGTTTGAGGTTTCCTCTGTGATGGTTATGTCTTTACTTTCCGACTTCATAGGCAAGAGTGGGCGACTGTGGATTGAAGGGAGATTTGCTGACTTGCAGTTAGGATGCTTCCAGGGATGCAATGGTTTCTGCGGTTAGGCTACCGAGGGCGATTTAACAAATCAATTTTGACGCTGCAAAGTGCTTAATCAGGATTTTTTGGGGAAACATTTATTGTCTCTTGCTCTTCTGTCGTCCCAACAATTTCCTAACAGTGGTACGTTTCTATTTCAAAAAGTGCGTTGTAACTCATAATGCCCTTTATTAAATTAAGTTTTGTACACAGTGTTGTCGAAATTTCGTCGTTTTCAGGTACTGAACTTCTCCAACGTTGAAGGTTTGAAGTGAGAGAGGGTTGTGCATAATAAGTCGTATTTGAAAGAGCGTACGATTTTACTGATATCTTTCTGAGTGTTTCCTCATTGTGGGCATAATGTGGTCCAAGTGTTTGCACAGTAGGTCATGACCTAATATTTAAATAGTCGGATGTATGAACAATTGGACTTCATCACGAATAGTGCAATCGTCAAGACATATTCTACTTCCTGTTTTGCCTCGTGATCCATAGGAGTGATTTGCTTCGAGCATGGTCACCTGTGAACGGTTATGCCGTAATCTACATAGCATTTTTGGCAGTAAATACAGCTGTTTTTCTTACTTCTAGTTAAAAACATGTGTCTTTATCCATCTTGAAGGTGGTCTCCTTAGAAGATAGCTGCATCGCTTTGGGGTTAATTCTTCTGTTCGTTTCGTCATTCTCCTCTCTTCTCATTAAATGGATGGTCCCGGTTCATCCACTGTTTTTGGAACAACTGCTTTTTTATACTGTATTGTCAGTACTGTGGCGAGGTTTGAAATTGTTTTTTAGGAAGATGACATGATAGAAGTAGAGTGGAATCTCGAAGAAGATTCTGATGATGAGGAGAGGAAAATTCGAGAGCAAAGAGAAAGAAGGATGAAGTTATTGCAGCAAATGAATAAGGTGGAGGAGAAGGTAATTACTTACCGTTGCCATTTTCTAGTACTATTGTGATGAGGAAAGGGGGCACACCTTTGGTTAAGTGATTCCTTAATTCCAGCTGGAGCATTAATGCGTAGGAGAGGGCTCTCCCCACTAAGTTATTTTACAACGAGATTCACATATAACTGGAAATCGTTTCCTCACCTAATTTTGTGACCTCGTGCTCGTAAAATTATCTTCACTATCCACTCCTTTAGTTGCTTTATGCTTTCGTCCTTGTTTTTGTTGTAATATGATGGTGTCGTTTATCACGTTTTTTTTATTTCACGTTTTTCAGGTTGAAACAAAAATTTATTCTGACGAAAGTTCAGGAGAGGATGCACTCATCAAGGAGGCTCGTCGATTAGTAGGAATGGTGCTGGTTCTCTTTCTGCTTTACTGACGTCTATGAATAATGAATTGAAATTTAAGAATGTTGTTGGAAGTGAAAGCCCAATGAGCACGAGTGCATTATCGTCACCGGAGAGGGACACTGGAGAAAGTACTCCAGGAGATTTCTTTGCAGATTTGAAAGAAAAGATGGTTCATTTGAAGTGGGGTGTTTCTTTGAGGTAACTCTCTTTAATGTCTTGTTGTTACATACGTTTACTTTTCAGAGGTGCTGATGAGAACTATGTCGAGGAAGCGCTGTTGAAAGCAAAGAAAGAAGAGGCGGATGATGCTCAAAGAGAAAGAGAATATCATGCTAATGACACCCCTGTTCGTTGTTCTTCGTGATTATGTTTTATTTGTCGTAAAGGTTTTAAAGTAACGTTTACATGTAAGGTTTTTAAACTTTGCAGATGGAAGACCCGAAGTTGACTGCACCTGTCAAACAGATCACTAAATCAAAAACAGAGTTTGACATGTTTGCTGATGATGCCGACCTACCTCAGGTAATGATCGTCTATCCCTTTTATACCTTCTGTGGTGTAATATTCTTCATGCAGGATGGAATTGTTGCCGATGAAGCTATTATTAAATCACAGGGACACCAGGCTAATGATACTCTTAGGGACAATTGGGACGATGCGGAGGGCTACTACAGTGCGTGTTTTATCGTTTTATATTCTATAGAATTGTGTCCATATCCTTTTGTTTTAGGAGTACGAATCGGAGAGGTGTTGGATGGCCGTTATAGAGTGTTCGGTTACACGGGAGCTGGAGTGTTTGGAAATGTGGTCAGGTGCACTGATCAAAATCGGAACGACATAGTTGCGATTAAAATTATTCGTAACAACGAGATCATGTATGTGGAAGTTAAAGTCTTCTCGATTTGATCAAGTCAAACATAGCACTTAAAAATTGTTCTAGGCGTAAAACCGGCCTTCGTGAACTGGAAGTATTACGTAAGTTGAATGAGGCCGACAGGGAAGATAGATTTCACTGTCTGCAACTGTATCGGACGTTCAATCACCACAATCATCTATGCCTTTGCTTCGAGAATCTGAGGTGGGCCATGTGCCGAGTCTCTGCCATTCATATCGATAATAACTTTTGCACAAGAAGTGTGATTGATGACGCCATAGTATTTCAGACACAGGCTCAAGTATGCTCACGTTTGGTGTGATATTGTAAGTGCGGCCCGCGTCCGGCAGACAATGCGCTTACACGGTCTGATTTGGTCTCTTCCCGCCAACTAATCTAAACGCGACTAATCTAAACGCGCTGTTCCTACTTACTAGCATTGAAATGTTCATTTTAAGCATGCTCTGTCATCTCCAACTTTGGTTGAAACATGCGCATTTTCTCGCTCACGTACACTTTTGAGAGAATGGCAGAGTACTCTCTTTAAATGAAAGCATCTCCTTGTCCGTCATCTAGGTGTTTTAGTTCAACGTAGTAGAATTTGGGTTCATGATCTCTGATTACAGTATGAATTTACGCGAACTCTTGAAGAAGTATGGTAATAATATTGGTCTCCATATGAAGGCAGTACGAAGTTATGCACATCAACTGCTCATGGCTCTGCGTCTACTCAAGAAATGTGGTCTCGTTCACGCTGACATTAAGCCAGACAATATTTTGGTAAGGTATCTTTAGAACAACTGTTTAGTTTCTTATTAACGAAACCTTCTTTCAATTTTTATTTACAGGTCAATGAGTCGAAATTGACTTTGAAGTTATGTGACTTCGGTTCAGCAGGACATGTTCGAGATCAAGAGATTGCCCCATATCTTGTCTCCCGGTTCTATCGAGCACCTGAAATCAGTAAGTTTTTCTCCAATTCTTTTCCTGTTAATCTTAGTTCAGGACGTTTTCTTTTCAGTGTTGGGGATTCAACATGATTACGGTATCGACTTATGGTCGATAGCTGTTACACTGTTTGAGGTGTATACTGGAAAAATAATGTTTCCAGGGAAAAGCAACAACCATATGCTTAAGGTTGGTAAGTTCACTTTCCTATAGACTTCCAGTCAATCGAATGTTTATCTCTTCTTCATTTAAGCTGTTCACGGAAGTAAAGGGGAAGTATCCGAATAAACTTGTACGGAGAGCTCAATTTCGTGACCAACACTTCGATGCGAACTGCAACCTCTTATATCATGAAATTGATAAAGTGACACAACGAGACAAGGTGCTAAGATGATGGTTGTTTCAATTCTGCCAAGTTACTGAATTCTTTGTCATAGGTCACAGTCCTGTCGAATATACGGATATCGCGTAATTTGGAGCTAGAACTCATAGGAGAACAGGATCTTGATCGAGACGGCATATCTCAAGTAAACCAGGACTTCACTTGTCCATGTTTTAGCAGACTATTTGATCATTAGAGAACCATTCAGGTTCAATCATTTCGATCCCTTTTGGAGCAGATGTTGGTATTGGAACCGACAAAACGCATAACCTGCGGTGAAGCAATCAAGCACCCATTTTTCTCCATGAAGTGAACTCCATTCTTCCCGATATGTACATAAAACCAGTCGGCTAGAACATGCCTGTATAAAATCCCTAAGTGAAGAATGGGAGGTCAGATCCTGTCAGGTGTATGAAAATAAATTTTGTCGTTGTCGTTGTTCAGTGCTATAATAAATATGACTACAGTTATAATTAAATATGATGTGCACGTTAAAGACTTTCAAATGAGTGCTCGTGCGGACTATACATTTTGTAAAGCAGTGGTTTAAGACATATCGTCCATTTGGTTTGAAGAAGAAGGCAGAATTTGATAGCCGTCATATGGGAAGTGCATTTAGCCCATTTTCTCGGGAATTGTCATTTGGAAGCTGCGACAAAAGCCTATTCCATGAGATTGAGGTGAAGAACGTGTAGCTAATATACAATCACAGCAGTAGTGGTCTACGCGTCTCCCGAACACGTGGAGCGCAGTGGGGAACTCTGACGCGTGAAGTGGTAGTGCATCCCAGTATCTCCATGTGGAGAGTTTCGAGCCGCTTTAACACAAAGGCAGGTGTATTGCCCTGCTTGATTTCCTTTTTTTCTTTTTCTTGAATATTTTTGTTCCCAAGAGAAATGATGACGTAGTTATACGACGTAACCGGACTTAGTAGATGAGCTCCTTTTATACTGCTCAGAATTGACTTACGTGTAGTACGAAACACTCGTGCATTAGTGCATGGAAGTTCCGGTGTGTTCATGAAGTGAAGAATCTACGAATCACTTGCTGGAAGGTAGGTGGAAGGTTCATGAGGTTCGGCGCCTCTTCCAACAAAGGCTTTACTAGTGCTTTATGTAAACTCAGCAAGATATTTCAAGTGCACTATTAGCTACTACGTCAGCGAGAATAATGATCAGTAATGAAATCAATGTCCATTTGTACGTAAGACGCACGACCGTTAGAAGTGGAGGTTCAAGTGATAACCTCATTTCGAAAATTAAAAAGACAAAGCATGGCATAAGGATGCGTGTAGCGCAGTGGTCGAAGATCCCCTGCAATACACATGGGGTTGATCGCCGTGCCTCAAGCTCACCAAACCTTCCCTCCCTCCGGGGTCGGCAAATGGGTAGCAGACATGTCTGGGAGGATAGCAGCACTGGCTCCATACATCAGTAGACCACCGCGAGTCATTATAAAGGCCAGATACGCATTCAGTCACCTCCAACGATGCATAATGAAGTTGAATGCACGATGCATCCCTCAGAGATTGGTCAACACCGAGAGCTTTATCCTCTTTTCTTTAAACCATAACAACATCAAGCTAGCCAAGCGGTGGAGACGATAGGCGTCACACATTACCTATGCCGTTGAAGAACTGCTGTTCGGAATAGACGACAGCAAAGTAGTTGGCGGAAATGTTCCGGTTAAAATGAGAGCATCTATGGACATCGACTCCAGTGCGAAATCAGTCGATCAAGTTGAAAAAAGAGCGTGCTGGCCGTGATAGCACTTGTACAGTTTCCGACAAGAAGTCCCACCGATGATAGCAACACGGTACATTTCAAAGAAATAGAGAACTCCCACAACAAAATCATACGAGATCCTCTATAAGCGAACGCCATTATACCATTAGGGAACCTTGAAAATGAATTTATAGGATTTACCCATGATGACCTTGTGAAGTTCCACACAGAAAGCCTACAGGATATGGTTTTAACTTATCCAGACAGGAAATATGGCCAGCTTTTGCCAACAGAGCGCCAAAAACCTAATTTTGAAAGTCATCAACATACGTCTGTCATCAGAAACTATAGTTACTCTAAACACCATAAAACACTGGCGACTACCAAATTACCTTCTGAGAAGAGAAGTAAAACGAGACCGAAGACAGAGAAGAACATGGGAGAAGGATGGAGACAAAGTGGTCAACGTCTGCCAATCACGTAACCAAGGTGACTTTTAAGTGAGATAGAAAAACTACCATTACATTCACTAAAGCAAGATGTACGAAAGTTCATATACGATTTCTACTTTGTGTCCACCTTGTCGAGGTGAAGCTGTACATCCCAACATTCCAAACAGGACAGAACCCGAATCACCTACCATCGTTTCCTTCAACGCAGAACGTAAAGTAGCTGGACAGTGGAAAAACTAGGAATCCCTGTAAACTGTAAAGGAATTGAACTTTACACAAATTCTGAATAAATGAATGGATAAAAACTCGAATAATCTTTAAGAGGGTGTATAGAACATCACGTAAAAGACCGTCAGACCATAAGCACCAATCACAAGAATTTAATCTAATAGAACCTGGATAAGACAACATAGGAGTGGGAGCGTGTAATATCTCCATCTTGGCTGATGTTTGCTTTATAAAACGAAGTATTAGCCATATGAAAGGAATCACGAGCAATTTTTATGACACGCCTTGGACTAACTTTTGTAGGAACTAGACAGAACGTCATTTGTAAGAAATGAATTTGTTTCCAGCGACTTACTCACGCTCCTCCATATTATTGTTGCTATTCATACCATTCAGGGTGGAATAGCACACTGATTAGTGATGTAGTCTATCAGGAAGCAAAGGCGCTAGTTCGATCACAGCTCCAACGCACTACTATAATCCACACAGGAACGCTTTAGCTCGATTATTTCCATGATTGCAAGAATTGACTTGACTAGCATTCTACGACATCAATAAAGAAGACGAAATCATTAGGCAGCAGCTGAAAGAAATGTTTGAAGACCATTATGAATGTTGGATAGGAACGAATCGAATGAAAGAAGTGCTGGGGTCTGCACAGTAACTCCGATGAGAGGTCATATAAAAAGTGAAAGAAAAGAAAGGATATATCCACGCCCAACAGAACCAATATCTCTATACCCTTCAGCTATACAAATATAAAGCATTCAACGTGGTTACTAAGGTCAGCAGACTAATTTTTTTAGCGTAAGCAGTCTTTCACGATGACCTACATAAACAATGAAGTACTAACTGATCATCTGCCGTGCAGACCACAGTTCCTAATTATAAAAATATTCATTCTCTATAGTTTACAGTGCAAATACATTGACTAGCAGCTTAAGTGTTCAATCTTCATGTCGTCTCCTTTAGTGACGTGTGAATTATAGAAACGATTTCCGCAATAACCGCATGCATGAAGGCCCGGCTTGTCCTAGAACCAACAGAAAATGCTTTAAAAAACGTTCGAAAAAGAGAGGTGATGCTTTGTATTTGTGCGCAACCGCATGAAAAAGTGCTAATACTGAAAAATGAGCGATAGCACTAGTACTGTAAACGCGTACAACGGTCCTCTATTCATTACCATCGGAAGCACAGAATGTTGCATGTATGTCCTGATATATTCATTTATAAGTTCCTATGAACCGATCTTGTTCAGCTGATGCGAGGATGGTATAGGTATAAGTTGTCGATGTCGTTGTCGTTGCTGTTGTTGTTGTTAAACTCACCACTCGTAACAGCACGGTCAGCCATCGACTAACAACAACAACAACAACGACCTGTCAACCTCGCATCAGCTCAACACGATCAATTCATAAGAACATATAAACAAATACATCGATTATTTAGGCCAACGTTTATAGAAAGTCGGTCTTTTGAGTTATGTCCTGATATTTGAGAGAAACGCACGAGATTTATGAAGACACGTGGATGGCCAAGAGCGGCATGACCACCGTCACAAAATACGACACGTTCATTGCCGCAGTCCTTCGGAGGGCGTTCGGCTATCAGATGCATGGCTATATTCGGATTAACCTATAAAGGTAGTTCACCTAGGCTTAGATTTAGTAGTGGAAGTAGCAAAAAATGGCCACCAATTCCATCGTCCTAATGCATAAGTTTATCTAAAATATGACTATTTTTTCCTGTCTAGAAAGGGCTATGTTCAGCAAGATGGATCTTATAGACGCATACATTGGCATATTTTCAATATCTCGCCAAAGAAAGTCATAGTGCCTCAATGATGCTGAGATACTTGCAGAACTCCGGACCGCAGGTGTCTGCGGTGGGGATCGAGCACGTCCCTTTCGAGAGTTTTGCAAATATCTCAACATAATTGTGGTTCTATCACACATAACATCCTGCCGTGAAAAGTTGTAGTAGGCAGTAAATAGAAATTTAACATAGTTATAACGCCTGTTTCATTGCAAGGCCAGAAATTGATAGCTTCTAGTGACTTAAATCATACACATCTCAGCAAAGACCAGCTTTTTGAATCATAGGTTAACCAGATTTCCGGTAATGACATTGTCTTATTATAAACATTACTGCTCCAGTAGACGTTTCATTCCGCTCTTCATTCGAAATAAAAATGGAGGTATACAGAAACGAACCTGCTTTTTCGAAATATCAAAGCGCTGTAAGCGATAGTCACCTTGATCCCAAGCCTGTAAAAACAACAATGGATCATAGAATGAACACAATCGAAACATAGAAGCATTACTCTTATTTGAATCATTATCAGCCTGACCAGGCTCTAGTAAAAAGTACAAAAGTATCAGACTGGGAAGTACAGGCTAACTCTTGCTTTGTTAGCGAAATTTAGTTGTAAGGTATTAACTTACTTGGATACTTGGATGGCCTGTCTTCACTGATTTTGCTAGCCACAGCATAACTCCCGTTTTTTCGGAGTTTTGCTAGCCATTGTGGTACCCTGGAGTCACCAGGTCAGCCTGGCCAAAGTCTACCTAAGCTCACCATAGGCAATCGCCGGCCTTTGTAGATCAGAGGGAGATTTGCCATTATGGGACTAGTTTGATACTAGGACGGTGATGGATCCTGGTATTGATTTACTCTTGGTTGGACTTCCTAATGGAAACACCGAACTCCTTCTCAGCTTGGGAGGAGACCCTGCTGGGAAATAAATCCCTCCACTATACATCGCAACCTGACACCCAGGAACACCTCCCAGCACGATGAAACGGTAAACCGTTGGGAGGCGTGAAGTGTTAAACGAGAACAAATAATAAAATGCAGAAATATCTAGAGTTAAAACATTACCTGTCCGGTGTGCGTAACCTGATCAAATTCCGCGTTTTCCTTCGTAATCTCTAGTGGTTTCGCTTTCGTAATTTGAGAACAAAAACTTCTGGAGCACGTGTTTTTAAATGGTAGCAAGCTCCGTTTCATTGTCCTGAAGCTTCCATGGAAAATAACGCTTGGCACAAAAAGGACGGCGATATGAGGTGCGAAATGAAACTGAATAAGAATTTCATGAATTGTGTTTGCTGGAATGAACAGACATCGACATTATCTGAGTGGACATGACTTGAAAAAGAGATTGACGGCACTGTGAAGTTCTAGCTTGACTCCTGTTACAGCGTGTACTGCTTAGCACTGAGTCCAAGAAAGCTGAGTACCACGAACACCTTATGCGAGGTGCATCTGCAGTGATGTAGACATGGTCATCAGAATCACAGAGAGATGTGCAGTTAACATTACAAGTACTCAGTTTACAACCTGCATTTGTGCATCAATCACTCTTCGACCGTAACAAAGGATGGGGGGATTCATTCAGTGTTGATTTCAACTGACCCTAGAATCGTGCAGAGAAATGTGAAAGTATGGAGAGATGACCACGAGAAAGAAGGACTGCAAGAACTTGAAGAAGTAATCACAGAGCCGATGGCTTCCTTCCCTAGAGCACAAAACAAGACACTACTTTAGATGGACTTAATTTCTACCCGCTTTTGAATGAGGACTAGCAACGTACTGCAAGGAATCTCCAACTGTACTGGTACTGTAATATGAATAATACGTTCTTCTAGCTAAAGTAACGCTAAACAGTAAAAAGTCCAAGTCTTTCTTAGTTAAACTCTGTTCACAAATCTCAAGCGCTGCAGTACAACAGTATCGATTCGGACGATATTTTGCTAGTTGAGCAGATTTTTCTTCGATGGATCATACGATCAGTGCTGCTGTACTCAACCTGTTCATACATATATTAGTACTCAGAGAGATTCACCATCGTATTTTTCCGCCTCAACTATGACAATACTTGATATCTGTTTACCACTAACTGAGTTTTCTGACAAAAAACTCGGAATTCAGTTGGAGTAACCCTGCAAAGAGGACATCGAAATTTTTCATCATCACTCAAGGGCATCTTCTCGCCATGGTGAACGGTTAAATCACATATTCACTCAGTCTTTTCTGAGTAGAGCAATGTCATTACGGATTGCTTTTAGGCGAAGCTTTTAGCCTACTACATTAAGTTGGAAGACACAATAAGTACGTTTAAAACGTCACCGACGTTAGAAAAACGTTCAGTGCAGTGCTAGTTCTGACTTTTTATTTACAAGCCACAAGGGTAGGTAATTCACTAAACAGTATATCAGTAAATCACACGTGGTAAATGGTCGTGAACTTCGACGTCTGAGCGGAGTGCCGAGGTGGCGCAGCGGCGAGTGAGGATCGAGGTTCGGCTCAGACTCGCGTCTGTACTTGGCTCCACGGTGGTTGCACGTCCAGTTCCCATTCGCGAGGGATTTGTAGATATTCAGCGGCTGCTCACACGCCACGAAAACCTGTCTGGAGATATGTCATTCAGCAGCAAAAGCACCACGCACCGGCGATCCCTACTCGCAAACGTTACAGCCTCGTATCCCTTACGTACTTACCATTTTGACTCATATCTAATCCATGTATGTAAGGCTGAAAGCAGTGTTTCTAATTTTCACGCACGATACATTCAGTGATTCGAGAAATCAATCTGGAAAACAATCACTAGCTGTATATGTGATGATCCCACAACTATCAGAAACTTTCTGGATGCCCGACGCCCGGAAATCGTGTGGCCATGAAGTAAAGTTCTCCCTATGGCACCGTCAGGATAAAAACTGGCTGAGAGTAAATCAAAACAAGGGCTTCAGTGATTCAGTGGTTGCCATGATTATGGATGCCCAGATATTTGCAAAGCTCAAACCCTAAGCCAGATTCGAATCCGTGATTCCGGGAGTTACGTGTTACCCATTGCACCACTGAGGCTGCTGCGTTGCCTTTCTCTCAGCCAGTTGTTTGCCCTAACGATGCTATCAGCAATCACTCGTCACCGAGATTGATCTGGAGAGCACAAATCGACATTGAACCCTGTTTATCCGAGGCTGTATTCGAAATCACAATGTATAGCTTTTATTTACTCACTATAGTTCTTCTGGCATGGTGTTAAGTGAACTGCAACCACAATAATGAATCGTAAGGCAGCCTGTGAAGAATTTCGGCCACTGTATGAGTAGGGTCATAAATCTAACCTATTTGACGACGTTCAGATAGATGAGCGGCCTGGTTAGGTTGTGCATCCGAAACAACGGAACTTGGCCATGAAGTTTTCCTAGAATAATAAAAACTGCAAGGGAAAACCCATGTTTAAAACGGTACAGACCAAATGTTGGAATTGTTAGCGTTCACGACATACGCTCCTTCATTAAGCTGCTAGAGAATTAATACTTTTTTTGAACACATGCGGCACTTTATATCAGAAATCCTAGGTTTATAGAGGGTAGAAAATCATTCTTTCATTGTTGGCGACCTCAAAGTCATCACTGTCTCGAGCGGTATGTCACTGGTAGCACAGAAATCTTCGGGCTCTCCTCTCGATGCCTGCATGTCACGGATTGCCTCTCTAGAATGGAACAACATGGAAGTGAACTAGCAATTGAGCAATCATTCCTTTGATAGTGACACCTTCATTAGACAAAACATTATTATTATTATTAAGTGTTCCAACACCATATATGTCACACTCTGTAGATCTGAGCACTTCTCGCATTCGATTCGTTTGCTCGTAGCCACCATGCACGAAGGTCTTCGAGTTTTTTTTCTATGTGGTTTGGGCTGCTGAATGGTGATTTCTTCGTCTTCATCACGAATTTCGTGAAATGCTGGTTGAGTCGATTTTCCCTGGGGTCTTGAGATAGCCATGCTAGGGCGTTTCCACGTGAACTGAAGGAAGCAAGCTTGTCTTAAAGACCTCTAGTACTAGTTGCCTGACTCCCGAGGGATGACAGGGTTTGTGGGCACGCGGAGGAGGCGAACCTTGAGCCTAGGTAGGTGAGGCCGTCGCGCGTAATGAATGCGATCAATGCCATTGCGCTACGTGCTCCCATAAAATATACTATAACTGTTACAAAATATTAATCAGCCAGAAGGAAAGCCGGAAAGTTACAATAGCTCATTTCATTTGGACTGCTCATTAGAAGTGATAGAAATTCAGCTGTCAGAATGAGATGTTCATGTTAAAGGATTGTCTTCATCAGTCATGCTAGGAATATCTACTAGAGAGATTATTCAAGGTTTGACCCGATGTCAGCAAAAAGAAACCAGAGACTTTACTGCACCCGCAAGGGTGTTAAAAATCGGGCGTACTTTCACATGTAGAGTGGTCCGGAGGACAGCCGATGGACAAGAATCATCGGCCACTTCCTTCAGAAACACGACAAGCGCACAACAAGAGGATCGCTAACACGATGATCATTCCTTTACAGGAACATTATGGAAGAAGATGTGATGTTGTGCTTGTCCCTCGTCAGGATATAACTCAGTAGTTAAGTCTGAAATACAAGAGGAACGAATTAAGCTTTCATTGGCACCAACCAATACCACCTGATGAAGTAATGGATGCACAGATGATGAATTAACTTTGAAAAAACATCTATTTCTCTTTCTGCTTACAACACTTCTTATAAACATATAATGCAACTTTCGAAGATGGTCCTCAGTGACTTTTGTATCTGGATCATATCCATATTGTTGGGGCAGACTTTGCCCAGTCTGACCCCGGAATCCCAGGGAAGCACAGTGCCTCAACCGGCGTCTCCGAAACAAGAAGAAAAAAATGGAGATTGTGCTGGCGCCGGCACCACTAGTGAAGACGCATCCGAGTAAACCACATTATTTAATAGGAGTTCTCAGCCAGCTATTGAAATTGGCGATTTGCAGCCTTGTGGATTCGATGCTACTATCAGTGAGCAACTAAAGAAGACGATGTATTCTTCACCGGTGTTATGGATAGTTGTACCTCCTTCGTGAACAAATAAAGAAATCTGGCTGACAACGATACTGACGATATGCATCTTGAGCGTGCACCGCTGATTTACTCTTTATTTAGTACCCTCGTCAGGGTATCGCGCGTTTGCTCAACAAAATTACAAAGCCGACAAAACCAGATGTTCGCCAAGTGGAAGAAGTGCGAGACGAAGGAAAACTTTTGTGCTCAGTATTTGGAGGGCCGCCTCTGGAGGAGAACAGTGGGTAGGCTCTGATGAAGGCGAAATCCGCCGAAACGTCAGCTTAGTCGTGAATAAAAAATAATAACACCTCGCGTTTGCTCAACAAAAATACGAAGAATTACTTGATCAATGCGGAGGTTAAAAGAAAGTCGGTCGTGGTCCGATCTCATGTAAAATTTCCTAGTCACATCTGCATCCGATAATTTTGAGCGTCGATCGAAGATGATGGACCTTTGAAAAACCGACTTTCCTCTATGCATAACTGATCAACACAGAAGAAGATCCGATTCGATGCGACGGCGAATACACCACAACGAGAAGACGAACAACTGTATTATGAACATGTGCTTATAGTGTTTACTTTTTATTTTCTGCCTTCTATAATTTTTATGGCAGGGTATTAAGCGAAATACAACGACAGGATTGCTGAGATATTTGCAAAACTCCGGACCGCAGATCTCTGCGGTGGAGAATGAACGCACTATTGTCCTTTCCGGGAAGTGACACGTTCACCACCACACCATGCGGGTCCTTCGTTTCGCCTGTCTCTCAGCTAGTTCTATCGATCACTGCCATCAGTAACCACCCATCAACAATCACCCGTATGGCAGTGATCGATAGAACTAGCTGAGAGACAGGCGAAACGAAAGGCGCGCATAGTGTGGTGGTGAACGCGTAAGGCCCGGGAAAAATAACAGCGCGTTCGTTCACCATCGCGGACAATCGCGGTTCTTCCTTGGTGGAAAACAGATAAAAACGGTGGGTTTCTTTGAGAAGCCGGTGTTAGTGTTCAAACTTTCATCTTTCTGTTTGCGTTGTTGAAGCGTTTGACCTAGTAAATTACATATTAGTGTATCCTTCCAGGCTCTGAAGAGGGCGATACTGCCGAAACGTCAGCTACCG